TATTTTACAAGAATCCTTTACAACGAATGGATAAAATATATATGGAAACAAATCTGCAAGCAGACATTGGACATTTAATGCATAGTTGAGTTTAACAAAAAAATACATCATATTAAATTTTCAAAAAACATAATGAGCTGGCCAAATAGCTTTTAATTAAGCTAAATGCCATTACCCCTAAACACCGTGCGTCTGTGTTCAGATTGAAGAAGAAGATGTGTGGATAACTTTACACAAACACGTTCAATTGTATTTCCGGTTTTACCTTATGTTCTGTAGTTTTTACCACTATCATTTTTATTTTAAAAAAATGCCACCAATTTTCTAATTAAAGCCCTTTGTAGCTTCAATAATAACGGACATAGCATAGTCATAACTGGACGAAAACAGATAATGCTATATCTGCGAGCGTCCAGTTTTACCTGCTTTTATCCAGTTAGTCCATTGTCAATAATCCGCTTTTGCCTGGCTGTATATTTATATATATATTTCTTTCGTCGGCTTTTGTCCGGTTTTACTCCGTTAATACCTGTTACATCCGCGAACGTCCGGTTTTACCTGTTTTTCGACCAGTTTGTGGACCATCGTGAATCATTCGAAATCATCTGATTTTGTCTTGCGGTCATGGGTCCATTGATCCGGTTTCATCCGCAAACGTCGGTTTCCGTCCGGTTTTATCCGCGATTGCCTACAATTTGTTTCTCTGTTTTCATCTAGTTACATTAACGCCTGCCTGCTACATCCACGAAAGTCTGGTTTTACCGGTTTTTGTCCGGTTAGTGCACCACCGTCAATTATTCGCAAACATTTGGTTATTATAATAACATAATATAACATATTTCGTTCTATGTTTGCATGCATCCGGTTTTATCTGCAAGTGCCTGCAATTGGTTTTATGTATGCTTTTATCCTGTTTTATCCTTAAAAGTCTGATTTCGTCCGGTTTTAGCCGCGTTTGCCTGCATTTTGTTCTATATGTCATAGGCGTGTAAAATCTGATAAAACAGAATGAGTGCAGACATAAAATCAAATACAGGCAGTTGCGGATAAAACCCGAGGAATGCAGACATAGAACGAAATGCGGGCAATCGCGGATAAAACCGGACTAAATAAGATATTTGCAGATGAAACCAGACCAATTTAGACATAAACGAAATGCATGTGCAACCAGCACGTATTTGCAGATAAAACCATATGAATGCAGACATTAAATCATATACAATCATTTGCGGATAAAACTCGAGGAATGCAGACATAAAACGAAATGCGAGTTAATCCAGAGAAGATAAGAGGCATTTTTATTTTTGATTTTTTGAAAAAGGTAAATCTTGATAAAATGTTTTGATTAAAAATATGCCTCTTATGTTTTCTGGCAGTGGCGGCTAGTGGATTTTGGCACACCCATATCTCAGTTATTAGACATGGGACCCACATCAAATTTATATGAGTTTATAATGACATTATATAGACAAGTTCTGCGCAAGCAGAATTTAAATTAAAGTTTGCGAAAAAAGTTAGTTTTTAAGTGCAACCCCCAGCCTCCTGCCCCTCCAAATTAAGATAATTCAAATTAAAGTGGTACAATATTTAATTCACTGAAGTTTATCGACAAATTTCAAATATTATTAAAAAAATTCAAGTATTACAGATTTTATACCATTTCAAATTTTTTTAAATTTAGTAAAAGAAATAATAAAAATTATAAATGGTATAAAACCTGTAATTCTTGAATTTTTTTAATAAAATTTGAAATTTGTCGATAATCCTCAGTGAATTAAATATTGTACCACTTTAATTTGAATTATCTTAATTTGGAGGGGCAGGAGGCTGGGGGTTGCACTTAAAAACTAACTTTTTTTCGCAAACTTTAATTTAAATTCTGCTTGCCAAGAACTTGTCTATATAATGTCATTATAAACTCATATAAATTTGATGTGGGTCCAATGTCTAATAACTGAGATATAGGTGTGCCCAAAATCCACCAGCCGCCACTGTTTTCTGGATATACTTGATTCGGGGAAAACAAAAAAAAATCAACTTTATAATTTCCGTCGTAATTTTTGTATTGTATTAAGACTTTGTTTTAATTACATACAACTTTTGTTATAAAATTAAAAAATAAAGTTAGTACTACGTAAATTAAATGAATTGTATATTTTGCTCCTTTTTGTACACCCTGTAGATAAAATCCCAAATTTGTTTACGTCAATGTTGTGTATTACACATAAACTTTTTATTAAAAATAAATTTTTTGAACAAAAAAAAATTGTTCTTAATAAACTCAATCCAGATAAAACAGACTTGAGCGGGTAAAGCCGATAAAACCGGATGAAAGCACGTATTTGCGCATAAAACCGTATGAATGCAGACCTAACATCAAATACAGGCATTTGGGGATAAAACCAGATGAATGCAGACATAAAACAAAATGCAGGATAAAACCGACATTTGCGGATAAAACCAGATGAATATAGGGAATAGTGAATAAAACAGGATGAAATCAGACATTTAAGGATAAAACCAGATGCATTGCAGCCATAAAACCAAATAACTGATATGACAGGCAAAGGTAGCCATAACCGGATATTTTACATACAATGCTTTTTTATAGCAGGATACCCCAAGTGTCAATACCAGTTCAGTGCCATTTGGACCAGAGTATAAAATTAATATTTTTGATAATCGATTCCTATCTAATATATAATGACTTTGAGTAAAAATATTACCAAATAGGTATTCGGATCTTGATTAATCGATACACCCTGCTGAAAATGGCGGATGATTGCGGGTATAAATTCTTCGTCAAAACCGGATAAAAGCAGATAAATGCGGGTAAAAATATCATCTGATAACATCTGCTTTTGTCCGCATCGCTATATCCGCGAACACCCGGTTGGTTGTGTTTTATGTCCGGTTAGTGCACCCCCGCAATCATCTGTTTATAACCGTCTTCACTGTGTTTCGTTTATATCTGAATTTGTCCGGAATCATCTGCAAACGTCTACTTACGTCTGGTTTTATCCGCGATTACCTGCATTTTTTTTCGTCTATTTTTGTCGGGTTTTATCTGCAAACGTCTGGTTTTATCCGCGAGCATATGCTTTTACCCGCAAACGTCTGCCTAGTCCAATTTCACCCGCCAACATATACTTTTATCCGCCAACATCTGCTTTTATCCGCGACCATCTGCTTTCATCCGCGAACATCTGCAATCACCCGCGAACAACTGCTTTTATCTGCGAACATCTGCAATCACCCGCGAACATCTGCTTTTACCCGCGAACGTCTGCTTTCATACGGTTTCACCCGCAAACATGCTTTTATCTGCGAACGCTTGATATCATCCGGTTAGTGCACCCCCGCATTCACCCGCAAACATCTGCTTTTATCCGCAATCATCTGCAATCATCCGCGAACATCTGCTTTCATCCGCGAAAATCTGATTTTATCCGCCAACATCTGCTTTTATCCGCGAACATCTGCTTTCATCCGCGAACATCTGCTGTCACCCGCGAACAACTGTTTTTATCCGCGAATATCTGCAATCACCCGCGAACATCTTTTTATCACATGCTTTTATCTGCGAACGCCTGATTTTATCCGGTTAGTGCACCCCCGCAAACATCTGCTTTTATCCGCCAACATCTCATTTTATCCGCGAACATCTGCAATCATCCGCGAACATCTGCTTTCATCCGCGAACATCTGATTTTATCCGCAAACATCTGCTTTTATCCGCTAACATCTCATTTTATCCGCGAACATCTGCTTTTATCCGCAAACATCTGCTTTCATCCGCAAACATCTCATTTTATCCGCGAACATCTGCTTTTATCCGCAAACATTTGCTTTTATCCGCAAAAATCTGCTTTCATCTGCAAACATTTGCTTTTAGCAGATAAAAGCATGTGATAAAAAGATGTTCGCGGGTGATTGCAGATATTCGCGGATAAAATCAGATGTTTGCGGATAAAAGCAGATGTTTGCGGATAAAAGCATATGTTTGCGGATGAAAGCAGTTGTTTGCGGATTAAAGGAGGCGTTCGCGGATAAATGCAGATGTTTGCGGATAAAAGCAGAAGTTTGCGGATTAAAGCAGTTGTTCACAGATAAAAGCAGATCTTCGCGGATAAAAACAGATGTTTGCAGGTGAAATCGGGTGAATCAGACTTTTGCGGACTAAATTAGATGTTTGCGGATTAAAACAGATGTTTTTGGATTAAAGCAGATGTTCAAAAATAAAAGCAGATTTTTGCGGATATAAGCAGATGTTTTCAGGTGAAATCGGATGAAGCAGTCTTTTGCGGACTAAAATAGATGTTTGCGGGTGAAATCAGATGTTTGTGGATTAAAATACATGTTTGCGGATGAAAGTAGATCTTCACATATAAAAGCAGATATTTGCAGGTTAAATCGGATAAAGCAGACGTTTGTGAATTAAAGTAGATGTTTGCGGATAAAATCAGATAAAACCGGGTGAATGCAGATATAAACCCAAATACAGGCATTTGCGGATGAAACCAGATGAAAGCAGACATATAACTAAATAGATAAAACCCGACGTTCGCGGATAATATTTATACCCGCAATTGCAGATAAAAACCGACATGCCGGGTAAAATCAGATAGAAATGGACATAAAACTAGCTTGGTTTTTTATCCGCATTCATCCGATATTACCCGTCTTTTTCAGCAGGGCACTGCAAAATGTATCGATGCTTATTATGTATCGAATAAAAATTAAATATTGATAATAGGAAGTATTAATACTACTCAAAAATATCTAATCTTAACCAATGAATACTGCTGAAATTATACAACAGAAACTCCTGCGGCAAATATATTAGCCTATAGGCTAACGTGCAATATTAAAATATAAATAAATAGTAAAAAATGTTAGTCCAAGTCCAAAAACTAAGTGTTAACATGGATTGCCTCCCGATTTGTGGTTATTTTTACATGTAGCATACATGCAAATTAGGTACCTTTACTTATTTTTAGGGGTCACATTAAATAACCAAGTTATTTGTATTTGCAATGATGGACATGTTTTGGGTTATGGAGGAGTTTGGAAAGAAGGTAATAATGTTACAGGGTAATTACACAAAGTATAATAGCAAATTTTACTTAGGATGGGTTTTGGAAGGGGGTCCTAGGAGAAAATTAAACTACTATGGAGAATGGTTAGCAGTATGGGGAAAGGCAGGTTCCGAACATCCTCAACCATGGAGTCCTCTCGCAAAAGATCACCAGAGAGCAAATTTACATCTTTACTGGATTGGCGCAAAAGATCCTGAATTATTAGCTCACAAAAAAACTGATGGAGAACCTTTACAAGTGGTGGTCAGCAAAACTTGCAACCATATATTAATTGTGATTGAACAAAAGGTTACTCAAAAAGGTATACAAAATTTCATATAATTCTGAATACTACTTCACTGATCAGACACTACAAAAATGATACTTTTTAGGAGCAGTTTCAGTGGAAGTAAGTAACTTTGAATTGGTAGGGAATACCTTAAAAAGAGCTTCAGTTACGTCAGTTCCTTTGCAAACCCAAGTCAGTTGCACATCGCTCAGTGAATGCGAAAATCGTTTATTAATCGGCTGTATAGATGGCTCTCTGGCACTGCTAAATAGGAATCGTGGTTCCACCAGAACCACCAAGGCCACGTTTATTCCAACTTTTTGTGTATGGCATACGCAGGGTGCTCTGGTTGCCATTTCCAATGAAAGAGGTCAATTGCAATATTATGACACTGCCCTTAATGTTGTTAAATCGCAAATATTGTGTGAAGATTTTAACCCTACGCCTATTATAGATATTTCAGGTATTAAGTTGTTTATTTATAATTTCAATATCATAAAGTTTATTTCGAGTAATATGGCATTATTAGTGTTATTTTTATTAAATTAAAATATATTTATTTTAGGGTATCTCAATGGCCATATAAATATTGCGTCTTTAAACTGGGGCCCAAAAAATCTTTTGTTTTCTTTGGAACAGGGCCCAATAATTTGCATTACTCATTATGATAGTGCCCTAACTTTTAAGAATCTTGCGAAAAACTATATTTCTCAAAACAAAATCGATAAAGCTATTAAATTACTATTAAGTTGGAATTTTAATGAGGACAGTTTTTGTGTGCTCCAACAAATATGTGCACATATTATGAGGAAAAAATTGACTGAAGAAAATACTCAGCATTTACAAAATGCATTGGGATTTTTTCACAATCCGCCTATTCCCTTATCTTCTAATATAAGGCATCACTATGGAACTCAAGTAAGTAACTTAATAATAATAACCTTTATTTTTCCAATTTGACAAACAGTATAAATACTGTTTGTCAAATTGGACAAATTTGTATAGGAATGGTCAACTTAAGTGTTAAACCCCAAAATCATGATTGTTTATCTTATAGCGATGATTGTCTATACCTTACCTGCTACGGGACCGGGACCCTAAAAATAGTAAAAATTGACCCCTTCCACCTGCCTTGTGACGATTTAAACTTCCCTAAAAATATTTTTTCCGACTCTTTTTTGTAATAATCTGACTAAAAATGGAACACATAAGCAATTTCATTCGATATACTTTGTCACGTGACGTTTTAGAAAAAAACCTCTCCTCTCGGGCGTGATTAATCTTGACGGTCCAAATTGCAATTACAATATTTTTAGTTTGGTGCATTTAATTAGAAAAGAAAAGACACTTTATCCTCTTCATCTCGAGTTTACAGTCTAGTGGTCGAAAATTTAACCGGTACTTCACTGGTGGTATCAAGTAATATTGCAATGGCAGATTTGTTGATAATATCGAAAAAAATACAAAAGTTTAAATTTTAATTAGTTTTGTTACAACTTTTGAGGGTCACTGGTTTAATAAGGGTGCAGACTTAAAAAAAAAGTAACAAAACGTTTCTTAAAAAATAAAGAAGAATATCAGTACATTCCGTCAAAAAACTTGATAATAATTTACGGGGAAGCACAAGGTAATGCTAAAGAAGCATGTCGAATTTACGCTGATAAATTTCCAAATCGCTGTCATCCTCGAAGACTTTTTAAGGTTACGCTCGAGCGCGCAATACCGGGGAGCTCCAACCTCATCATGGTCGTGATGCCCTGATTTTGAACGCACATAAACAAGTACTGCAACTGGCAGTAGTCTACTGCCAGTAGAGGACCCATCATGAATCACTATGAGTATTGGTCGTCAGTTACAAGACTTCCAGAACCCGAAAGGATAATCGAGTTCTGCCAGTGGATTCTCCAACAAAATAAAGCTAATCCCAATTTTCTCTATGAGATTTTATTCACTGATGAATGTACCAGAAATTTTTAATTTTTATAATTACCTTTATGACATCAGACGTACAAATTTTCAACAAGATTTTTCGTTTATCTCTGGGGTGGAAAAGTAAATAGTTGCCTGCCAGGCTTTATGAACTCTAAAGAATGGCCAGTCTCGATTACCTGAATTTCCTTCAACATGAATTAGAACCTCTGAAAACCTTTATTAGCTGTGTCTACAGGTCCACGAGGCGGCAAAATAGGTACGAGAAGGTGGTGCTATGAGACAAGCTTCTCAATCGCTGTTGTCGTGCACGACTTTTATTGAACTGTAAAGCCCGTTGGTCCATTCGATTTGGCGGGAAAAGAGTTTCGACGTTTCGACAGATCCTGCTATATTTGAATCTAGGGGGCGGGAATCTTGAGATTGATCCAATATTTTGCGAAAATCGCACTAATTTGACGTGATGCCCATGCTTTTTGCAAGCATATTAATATAATTGCTTATCATACCTACGCCATTTATGTTTATTTCTTTTGTATCGTAATGTTTGTTTTGTTGAGTTTTATTCGAACTGTTTAAATGAGTGTTTGAAGTTTTTTTTTGTTTTTTAAAACGGACAAAGTTTTTTGAGGTACATTAATGTTTCTTATTTTACCTTTATACTATAAAGTTTATAGTCACTTTAAGTAACTATTTTAGTACCTACCAAAAATAGCATGGAAAATATAGCCTAGTGAGCAAGCAATGTCCCTAAAATAGTTCGCATCTGTATGAAATAGGAGTTGCAAATATTCGTGTTTCGCAATTCGCATCTATATGAAACCGACTTTACGGAGGAACTTTGAACATCTACTTTAATAATGTAGTTCTCAAATAAAAGGCTGGAATTAAAGAGTTTTATATTATGTATTATTATTTTATTAATGCTATTTCGCTTTTAAACTATCGCCCATCGGTTTTCAATTTTCGACCATATCTGTATTACAGATTTTTTATAATTACATAACAATACCAAAAGCACACAAGGAGTCCGAACTTCATGTAAACAAAAATCTACCAAAGATAAGAGGGCGCTGGTGTTCCGTTGATTGTTTGATTTGTACCGAAACGCTACCAAAACAGCAGACGTCAGTACACATCGACAATCAGTGCCGCTGGTGATAAAAAAAAACAAGACTTAATTTGTACAATTTGGTGGGCAGGTTTTGTCAATTTCTCCTATAAGTTCGGACTCCTTGTGTAAGCTCCATAATACGTGCATTACACTTTTTTATAAAGTCTCAACCCGCATTAAACCAGTGACCCTTAAAAGTTGTATCAAATCTTTAAATTAATCATTGATATTTCGTAAACAAGATAACATATTTTTTATTGTTTTTAAAAAAATCTATGCTAAAACTTGTAAGTAACACCATAAAATCATAAACAAAAATCAAATATGGATGCTAAAATTAAATCGCTGTTAAACAGTTATAGTGATTTAATCGCTTTTCTAAACAAAATTTATTCGAAAATTTAAGGCTTTTGATTGCTTCATTTTACAATGAGGGAAATAATCAACGTAAAATAATAAATTAATCAATTAATTTTATCTCAATATTTTTTTATAGGTATATTCTTTGACAAGGCGTTTTTTTCATCAACTAGTAAGAACTAAAAAGTTTGAAACCGCCTTTCTATTGGCTGTGGATTTAGCTCATCATGACTTGTTTATGGATTTATATTACATAGCTGATAAGATTGGAGAAACTGAAATGGCAGCAGCTGCAAGAGCACAAGCATCGGCATTATTAAGCCGATGTTCAAGCGAAGGTAAACGGATTTATTTTTAAATATCAATACTTAAGTAACAACATACGCGGTAAGAAAAGATCAAGATTCCTTGTTTCCAATTGAATTTTACCTGTATTAAAAGTGATTTCCTTTAGGCGCTAGAGGGAACAATTTGGTTTAAATGCCTTTATTGTTTTTTTTATAAAATGTTGAGTTATGTTTAGTCAGAAAAATATATAAATTATTTGAATAAAACTATTATTGATTAGTATGAGTATGGGGGAGTATGGCAGGCCCCATTGTCATCGTCTTACACTGATCTACCTGGGATTTTTTTCTACCCCCTTTCCGTTCTCCTACGTATCCCGCAACTGCACAGCATTTCCTGTGTTTTTTGTCGCCGGGTCGGGCCATACGCCCAATTTAGGCCAGTGGAGTGCGGAACAAGGAGGGGAAATGGTGGTTTTTGGAGGACATTGAACGGACCAAAACTAAGTACAACCTGGAGTCCTCCTCAACATGGGCTTTAGTAATAACCCCATTCAATCTTTGATTCATGAATGGGGGTTGATAGGTTAGTTCGTTGCTAGCACCTATTCTTGTTAGTTTACTTCCTGTTCGTCAGTGTCGCTGTCCGGGTCGGATTCCGGAAGTTGGTACAGTTTTTCCGTCGCTTCCCGCATAAGGTTTTTGTGGGTGCTGATGTGTTCCCATCGGACGAGGTCCGTGAGAATAGAATTGTCTGTGCGAGGGTGTCGTGGAATGTGTAGCAAGGTCTACCGACTTTTAACCGATGAGGTCTAGACTTAAGGTGGCTTGAAGTATGTGATTTCGACGTCTGCGCTTGGCATGGGCCCAGTATTTTATTTGTGCCCCCCTGACACGTTTAATGATTGTTTTTCCTTCAAAGGACGCTGGCTTAAATTCTTTGTGGTCGTTGAATAAAATATTGTGTGCGACTATTGGTCAAAAGAGGAGATTCCACCCGCGAGTAACCTCACTCGCTACGCCCGTGCGGCTCGAGTCGTACAATGAACTATTCATTACTAGGTTATATTTTGTCTTACAAGTTTAGGTATCTATTTTGCCATGCTAAGCCCCATATGTATCAATAGATAGTTGGTTGTTACAAAGAAATTGAGGATTGCATCACATTTCTAATCTTTTGTAAAACACACAGTAATTAATTTACTTTTTTACCAAAATTGCGTTTAATAACATTTTAATTATTTTAATTGAAGGGTCGGCGGTACATTTGGTGAAATGCAGTATTTCCTTGAAAGCTTGAATTATATACAAGGTATGTGATTTTCAATTGTATATTTTGCTTTTATACCATCCCCTTTAATTAAGCATTTTTAACCATTTTTTTTTTACTTTTTGAAGTTTATAGATTGTAAATGCCGATATGTACGAATCTTTTTTGTTGTTTTATATTATTTGTGTTTAGTTATATTGGCCTTTTTAAGGATATTTTATTTATCATTTCACATTTTTGTTTGTCCATAAAGTACGTCACACATTTTTTGGGGATTTTAGACCTCCTCCTCCCTGTCACATATTGTCAGAAGGTCTCCCAAGGACACACGTCACACTTGGATAAATATGTTTATTACAAAACACCTTTGCACCTAGGGTTGCCAAAAATTAAAATGGGAGGGGAATTAACATAAAAATATTTCAAGAATATATAGAAGGTTCCAATTGGAAAAATACATTTAGAAAAATTAAAATAAATTAACAATAAAATCAAAAATAATTAACATTATACGTTGTAAGGGAGGTTGTTTTAAGTTTAAAAAAATACAATTTTATTAAAAAAAAATCGGCAACACGCAAAGTAAAATATTTTAATTTCTTTGGTGTGACGTAACGCACGATCTAGAGCCCCCCACAAAACGTGAGTTTGGGTTTTTGCCATTGCCATTGCTAAATTTCGCTGCGCTGCTAGTCTCCACGCAGTAAGCTCCGCGAATACAAGATAATAAAAAAAGGAAACATTAGGAAAATCTTAAAATAAATATGTTATTGCCTTTGTGGCTGAGGGGGCAGGTGTTATTTTTTTCGCCTTTCATTGTTGTCATCCTGAATCTAATTTTTTTATGAAAATTGTCGTCAATAATTTTATTGTTGATACTTCTAATTGTCGTTTGTCATTTATGTATGTAACTTTTCGTCACTGAACTTTTCCAAAAACCTAGAAGCATAAAAATTGTTTTGTGCTATATTTTTCCATTTCTTTGGCCTTCAAGGTTTTAGAAAAGTACGCAGTGAGGTTTTTTGTCCTCCTGAAAAATTACATACAAAAGTGACATGCGGCATTTTGCAGTATCAACGACGATATATTTTACTGTACATTGTGAACTTAAAATAAAAAATTCGGAACTGGTATTTTTTTATGTTTTCAGCATCAAATTGCTCTCGTTCATCTTGTTCCCAGTGTTCAAACTCCGAATCTTCTATCAGCGAAGACTCTTCAACGCAATGGCCAGAAACAAAAGAATCGGAAGAAATTTCCGGTTTAAAAAATAATCAAAATGAAAACTATCTGACAACCTATTTTAATCAAGTTAACCCTTTAACGCCCAAACATCAAAATAATCCAATGTGTGCTATAAATATAGAATCAACAAAAACGAATTACAAACCAAAAGCAACATATGTAAAAGCTCCACAGGTACCTGCAAATTTTATTAAAATATCTCAACCAACCCCTATTGTTCCACCCCTTCCCAACTTGGCAAATACGCTGGGAATACCTAGTATTAATTATAACAGGATCTCAGAATCTAACGTCGACAATTTATATAGTTTTTTTAACAACAGAAGTAGCTCTGTTTTGCCAAAGCAGTTTTCCGCTTTAAATACCACAACTACAAGTGAAACCGATAACTTGCCTAGTAAGTCTACAAATTTAGAAAGTTCGCCCAGTTTAACTCAAGTAAAACCTTTTATTCCTCCACCTCTACCAGAAACCATGCAAAGTACCACTGCATCTTGTTTAATAGTTAATAACACACGTCCATTATCAACTTCTTCAGTTACCGGGAAAAAGAATCAAGCCAAAGTTAAGTTTTCCGATACTGTAACCGCATTTATTGTGCCAGAAATTGAAAAACGGCCACCTCCTGGCCGATCCACTCTTCCTTCATATGTAACTGACCCTAAGAAAGAGTTAGCCGACAGTCTGCCTCTATGCCATCCCAATGAGGATTACTTAAAAGATTTTGCACCGGTTAAAAAATCCTCTGATCCAGAAAGTAAGGAAGGACAGGCCAAAGTTAAAGTAGTACATTTTGGTGTAGTATAATCTCCATTGCACTTAAAAAGCCTTTTAAACTTTTGTATGTGATCATTTACACTTAATTATTTTAGTTACATTTTATACGTAGGTATTTGAAATTATTTTTTTTGTATTTTATATATGTACATTATGTACAGTACATATAATAATAATGAATGTTGCATCATAAAAGTCGCTAAGTTGGAGGTTAATTGACTTTTAATAGTTATTTACGTATGTAAGTTAATAAAGCGTTATCACACGTATATTGTACAAATTTTTATCTACGCCTCTAAATGAAAAAATAAACGGTAATTATTTTTGTCTAAGACTTAATTTAGGGTTATTTTGACATTTTGACTTTTTTATTTGATTGGTTAAAAGCAGAGAAAAACGCGTGCGTTAATGAACTTCTTATCTCACTCAAAATGAGTGGGATAAGAAGTTCTTATCTCACTGGCGTAGATAAATATTATTACCTAATTCAAATTTATTTAACTACATAACTTAAGGTGGTAGACAATGTTTGTTGAATAAAAAAAAAGGTTTTGGACATTGTCTTAGTGTTTTAACTTTAGATTTTTATCATTATGATATAATTCACTTTTGCAGTATTTTTAACCGTAACGGTATTCTGAGTTCTTTATCCACAGTAATTCATACCCTTTTCGACTGGCAAGTATCTCCATCTTCTATAGGTGTATATTACATAAGACCTGTAGCTACTTAACTAAGTCATTATTCACCTGAAAACGGAGATACTAAGACAATGGAAGTCCAAAACCTTTCTTTGTTGGTGTAAGCTTTAAATGATTTTATCATATATTAACAATCATTAATTAAAATTAATCTATGATCAAATCATAAATTATTTATAAGATTCATGTCCAAATATTTATTAAACACATTAAAAATACTATTTTAATTATAAAATTTTTAACGTAAAGTTTTGTATTTTTCTTATTAAATCCGTAATAATCATACATTTGTTTTAATTAGTTTACCTACATCACACACCATTTTGGTATATTGCTTTAAGGTTTATAATAACTCACAATAGGAGGAGTGTTCCGTTGGCATTCACTACACACCCTTTAAGTGAGTCACTTCCTAATATTTGTTTGATAGTTGCAGTTGACGGTAGAAAAGTTTAACAGTAGTATACAGCTGTACTAGTGTACACAGTATACACTTTGTAATGAGCCTACGTCACTAAAACCAGTTACAAAGTGTATTCTGTGTACAATCTGTATACACATACTACTGTTAAACTTTGCTACCGTCAAGTGCAACTATCAAACAAATACTAAAAATATTATAACAATTCCTGTGTACCTACCTACTTTTATTTTCAAAAACGCGCTTTATAGCGGCCGAAAAAAGAGCGACATAACGCTTTAATGCCTCCGACGCAAATAAGTTACCAAATGAAATTAAGGACGTCCCATTAATTACAAAATATAAATATGCTGTAAAATATTTTCTTCTTCAGAACTGTTTGTATTTTTTTAATGATTTTAAATAATTTATTTTAAACTTAATTTAGTGTAACCCCTAGACAAAAACTTTTTTATTTTTGTCTAGGGTACACGTGTAACCCCTTGACTTTGTCGATATCATTGTAATGATCTTATGGCAATAAAACTATTATTATTATTAAAGGCGGTAAACTTTATTCTATGTATGTTTAAGTATTTTTTATTTGCAAGAAAGTTTATCGTTACAAAGTACTGATTGACCCTTTGATTTTTCGCCCCAAAAAAGTAGCGCCACAGTGTTGCCATATGATATATACCATAAGCATTGAGTAAAGTGTGTGAAGAGACGCAAGGTGGTAGGACGATCTGTGCCAGGCGTATTATTATTAATTTACAAGAAAATGTGTCCGTAAGGTGTCGCCATCTACCCACCAATGTTCCAAGCTTGAAAATATGATAAAATAAGGGGTATTTGTTTGAAATTCCGATCTCCCACGCGAGCTTCTTACCCCTCCTTTCACTAAACTCGTCGCTTAGCAACGAGACGACAACAATTTTTTATTTGCAGTCATAATATTATTTGTCCTAGGATTATTTGTGTCTGAATTTAGTGGTTTATTATTTCATCATTGAGTAAAGTAAGTAACCAAAAGAATTTATTTATTTATTTACAATTCCTAGTGCTGTTCTGAGAGGTAATTTCTATTCTATTTCATTATATAATTATTATTACTAATAATAATTATTAATTAACTATAGTTAGATATATCTACCCACTTTATCTAATTATTATTTATAATAATTAATAATAATAATTATTAATTAATTATCTACCCAATTATTATTTAATTATCATTATAATAATTATTAATTAACTATCTACCCACTTTATCTAATTATTATTTATAATAATTAATAATAATAATTATTAATTAATTATCTACACAATTATTATTTAATTATCATTTAAAAGTAAAATTCTATTTAAAAAAAATATGCCTCTGAAACGTGTGAAATTTATTTATTTTTAATTAAAAATGTACATATGTATGTATACATAGAATGTATACATAGAGGCATATTTTTTTAAAATAGAATTTTACTTTTAAATGATAATTAAATAATAATTGGGTAGATAATTAATTAATAATAATTATTATTAATTATTATAAATAATAATTAGATAAAGTGGGTAGATAGTTAATTAATAATTATTATTAGTAATAATAATAATAAATATGCCTCTGAAACGTGTGAAATTTATTTATTTTTAATTAAAAATGTACATATGTATGTATACATAGAGGCATATTTTTTTAAAATAGAATTTTACTTTTAAATGATAATTAAATAATAATTGGGTAGATAATTAATTAATAATAATTATTATTAATTATTATAAATAATAATTAGATAAAGTGGGTAGATAGTTAATTAATAATTATAATTTTTATTAGTAATAATAATAATAATTTTTATCAAAAAAATTACTTTTTAAACCATGCAAGCTGGATTTTTAAATTTCTCTTTCAATAAAGTTTTTATACGAAAACACCCTGGACATACATAATATTATATTTATACATTTATACCACAATTAAAATATCAAATAGGGTACCACTTACATACATATTATTATAAGTAATTTTTTTGATAAAAATTAAAAAACAAGAAAGCATTGATAAAATTGATGTATTTAATTGGTATTTGATATTTTTAATATTGATATTTTTTGATATTTTAATTGCCATTAAAAATAAATCTATGTATGTACAGTGTGTTTTCGTATAAATGGGACACTCCTCTAAAATCTTTATTTGAAAATATTATTATATTGTATTACATATATTAAATTAAAAATTAATATAATTATTAAAAAAATAAAAAATTCAGCTGCATGGTCAAAAAAGTGATTTTATGAAAATTTTTTGACAAAAATTAAAAAACAAAAAAGCATTGGTAAAATTGATGTATTTAATTGGTATTTGATATTTTAATTGACATTAAAAATATATTTATGTACAGGGTGTTTTCGTATAAATGGGACACTTCTTTAAAATCTTTATTTGAAAATAAATTAAAAAATTAAAAAATCTAGCTTGCATGGTTTGAAAAAATAATTTTATGAAAAATTTTTGACAAAAATTAAAAAACAAAAAAACATCGGTAAAATTGATGAAATACATATTGCTCATTCGAAACAACAGTGACACAACTCAAAAATCAGTTTTTGAGAAAACGCATTTTAAATTTGTTATTAGGTACTATTTTTTAGAGAGTATGCCTAAACAACCAAAATATTTGAGCCCAGCTTTTATTTTTTTAGCCCGGCTTGGTTAATGGAAAACAGTAATAACAAATTTAAAATGCGTTTTCTCAAAAACTGATTTTTGAGTTGTGTCACTGTTGTTTCGAATGAGCGATATGTAGATATAACATTGATTTTTCCAATGAAACACCCTGTATATTTTTGAACATTTAGATAGAGTTTTTTATTATAATTTCAAATACACATATATATAATTTGTTGGTATATGTTTGAATTAAAAAAAATCTGCAAAAATAACACTTACAATTTCATAAATTACCTATCTTAAAAAAAACCCTCAGGGACACGTGTTTTTTCTGATCAATTAACTTCAAAATTTTACAAAATTTCTTTTAAATTTAGAATTGATCTAGTGGTAGCCCAATTGAATTGTTTTTCAAAAATATACAGGGTGTTTCATTAAAAAAAACAATGCCGATGCTATTTTATTAAATTTACCGATGCTTTTTTGTTTTTGAATTTTTGTCAAAAAATTACTTTTTTAAACAATGCATCTGGATTTTAAATTTTTTCGATATTCTAATAAAGATTTCATAGGAGTGTCCCATTTATAAGAAAACACCCTTTACATTAAAAAAAAAAAGTTTTTTTTAACAAATATTTACATACATATTTTCGTAAAAAAAACAACAAAAATAAGTTAAATTATCAATATACATTTTTGTTTTAAAATACTTTTAAGAAATAATATACCTACATTATTTATCACAGCATTTATATACATATACTGTGGTTCTTATTTGGCCGATATCGAAATTTTAATCGTGCCGCCCCCTCATTTGTTTTTAAAAAATATTAAACTTAAATTAATGAACATTTCTAATTTTTTGAGGAAATGAAGTAAAAATATGGTACATTTTAAACAATTATGCATTAAATGAAAATTATCACTGATATTTTGTTTATTATGCCATTTTCAATAAAAATACAATAATAGTAATAATTGAATGAAGTAAAAAAGACCTTACTATGGACATAAATGAATTCTTTTTTTTTGTTTAAAAGTACCATATTTTCCTTTCATTTCCTCAAAAAATTAGAATTGTTAATTAATTATTAATGATTTTATAAAATTATTGCGTTTTAAAGCAAAAATCCCCTATATGAATTACTGTAAGTAATAATCGAGCAAAGTAAAAAAGACCTTAGGAAGAAAATACATGATTTCTTTTATTTATTATTTAAAAAAAAAAGTTGGAAAATGACCTCTTAGAACCGTGCATTATTTATTTATATACAAAATTTCCATGTATATTTTGATTAATTTATTGTTTTTAGATGGAATCTTTGAAAAAATTAATAGTTAGTGTTGTAATATTTAATATACTTAATTATTTTTATTTATTATATTTAATAACGCTTTACTTATTTTAGGAACAATTAAACAAGGACATTAAGGAAGTAAGTACTTAATAATATAAAACATATTGAAAGAAATATATTAACACACTATAGGTACTTTAATTAAGTTAACGTGTGTAAAAAATATTTGGTATAGGTA